GAGGTCGATCATCTGACGTGGCCTTTTGATGCAATCAAGAGATGAGATAAACACAGGACATTTGAAGCTGCTGCCTGGACAATACAACATGTTTTGAAGCAAAAAACCAAAAACAAACCTTTTTAAAACAAATACAGTAAACTCTAAAATAATGATAAGTATAGTCTAATAACAAAGTAGCCATTTATTATCCTATTATGGACTGTACATAACTCTTTGTGCTCTATTTTTAGATCACTGGCAGTATAGTAGGTTTGTTCACACTAGCATAAACACAAACACATGAGTAACATATTGGGCTATGACATCACAATATGATGACATCACAGCTATGATGTCACTAGACAACAAGAAGTTTTCAGCCCCATCAAAATCTTAAGAAATCGCTATTGTATATGTAGTTTGTCATTGATCAGAACGTTACACAGTGCATAGATGTATTTAGGGATTATAAACATGGAGTCAAGAATGCATCCCCCATACCAGTTCCAACTCCTTCCTTTCAGTTATACAACCCTTTGAGTTTTGCTGTGCGTACAGCTCTCCAAGAAAAACTGAATTTCTCATTTTCCTTTGGGTGTAGCTAAATTATGGCTCATGAGACGTGAGACCCAATATGCATCATGTCCAGGTCACGTGCTTGACAGAATACTGTTTGCTCTCATGGTTCTCTGCCCCAATTGTGCAGCCTGAAATCCAGATATTTCACTGAAAATCTAGCTTTGACTGTGTGGGCTAGGAAAACCACCCTAGGTCAGGGATGGCAAACCTTTTCCAACTCTCAATGATGCCAACAGGCCCGGTGGCATGTGTGCCATAGGTTCACCACTGCTGGCTTAGAGGATGGGGAAGCAACAAAACAGAAGAACCTGGGTTTGTAGTGAACTTGAGGAGTCGCTGGACTAACTTCTGACCTTGTCCTTCACTGTAAGAATAGAAAATAGCAACTCTTCCTGGGGATGCAGCTCAGTGGTAGACATGTGCTTAGCATACACAAGAACCTTAGTTCAGCCCACAAAACCAAGAACAAACAAAACACAAAAAGGAAAAGAAAATGGAGAATATTCTATTTTAAAATTACAAATTTTGCTGTGCATCAAATTGATTATCTGAAATATTATCTAGTATGGCAATCTCACACACCTGTAATCCCAGCACTCGGGAGGCTGAGGCAGGAGGATCATTGTGAGTTCGAGACCAGCCTGGGCTACAGAGTGAGTTCAAGGCCAGCCTCAACTGCATAGCAAGTCCCTGTCTCAAAAAGATTGAGAAATAATTCTTTGTGTGACTTTAAGTATGCCATTTAGAAAAATGAGTGATAGCAAGAAACAACATTAAGGATATACATAGAAACTTAGTTTGCTGTTGGGCATTTATTGATGAAAAAGACACCACTTCATGTTTTCTAAAACTCAGAATCAATAGATGTCATAGTTATGTTCTCGTTGCTGGGACAAAATATTGGGCACCCACAAGTTAAAGGAGGAAAGGTTTATTCTACTTCACAGTTGGTAGCAGTTTCAGTCCATGGTCAGCTGGTTTCAAGACCGGGCAACATGGCAGAAGGACATGGCAGAGAAGACACAGTTCATGGCAGGGGAGGTGGAAAGCAGCCAGCAGCAAGTCTCCCTTTCCCTTTTCATTCTACCCAGACTACAAGCCTATTGGTTGGTGCTACCAACACCAGAGTGGGTCTTCCTATTACCCAGACCCAGAATCGCACTAAACCAGTGGACTAATCCATTTATCACACCCATAATCCAGTATCACACACCTACGATCTAGCTGCCTGACAAAAGCCCCACCTATTGATACAGGAGAAATATAACTCCTAACCTGCTAGATGTCAGATGTGCCAAGTTCATGTCCCCCAAAATCAAAGAATGAATTCTAAAGGACAAAGGAGGTTAAAAGTACGAAAGGTTTATTGAGAAATAGCTCCTGAGAGACAGGAGGTGCCGGGGAAATAGGCTGCCCCTGAGGCTCTTTGTCAGGGGCGACTTATACAGTAAAGTATACGTGGATACAGTGTAGGTCAAGCTGTAATCAACCAATAAGATGATAAGTACAGCTACTTAGCTAATATTGGTCCAGTAAGGAAATGGGTCACATAACAAGGGTATAAGGAAAGAATAAAGGCATTTCTGGGAAGGGATGGATCCAGATTCTCTGGTCATCCACCTGGGCAACTGATGCCTATCTGGACTTCCTGGACCAGGTAGTGGAAATTACAGTATAATTCCAAGTTACTGCTTTATCCCTTGGGGAGGTCTGTAGTCCTGGCTGTTGCATCTTTATTTGAGGTCTGGTCTTCAGATGCACCTGCAGCCACAACTCTGGTGTCTTTACTCTTTCTGTGACCTCTTGAAGCCCAGTCCCTCTCTGTGTAATAATTTCTATCTAAGTTAGCTGCCTATGATTCTATGAGTGCATGAATCTTTGGGGGACATCTAGATACAAGCCATACATTGGCTGAGATAAAAATGACATAGGTGAATTTTTTTGTTATTTTGCAGTGCTGGGGATTGACCCTGGGGTCGTGTACCTTCTAGGCTGTTTTACTGCTGAGCCACATTCCTAGCTCCTACATAAGTAACTTTTAAAAAAAATTTACAGTATAATTTTATGGTAAAAAAGATCCTATTATTGTTTATTCTGGCTTTTTAATTTTAAAAGTGTTATTCATTGTGAAATAATGTATCAATAGAGGAATTCATGAAAAACAAAGTAAGAGCCACTATAAATTCTACCACTCATAGAAAACTGTTACTGTCACTATTTTGGTGAAAATTATATCCCAAAGTTTCATTTTGCAATTACTTTCACACAAATGTGCACACATATATTTTTACACAAATGGAGTGATATGATTGCAATTCTATTGTTTTTCATGCAAATTATAATTTTAGAATTTTCAGAAAAAATTTAAGCTGTCTAATATATACATGTTGTAAGTATCTATTAAATATGTATTCAATTCATTAATAAAGGAGCCACCAGGATAGTGAAGCTACTTCAAAGGAAAATACAAGAGATCTAAATATCCACAACCAATCTCTCTCTCTCTCTCTCTCTCTCTTTCTCTCTCTCTCTCGCACACACACACACACACACACACGTAGGCTAAGTGCCCAAGTGTGAAGTTGCTGAGAAATTGTACTTTTGTTTATCATTCTATCCAGGGTGACAGGTCCCAAGAATGAGGTGCTCACGGATGAATAGAAAAAGTAAGAGAGACAAGAAAAACAAGACAGGCAAAAGTCTGGGATCAGGGGCCTTACAGCCTCTTGGACTGCAGCCGCGATTACCAATCTCAGTCACCTTTCATTGAGCGAGAACCAAGGGCGTAGCTAGTACAAATGGGTGGATACCAAACATTTTAGTAATTAAAGGATTATCTTTCTCCAATTCTGCCTCTTATGCTGCTGGCAACAATCCCCAAGTGGGCCTCCTACGTCCAGCACCACGCTTACTCAGTTCAGCTGGGGGTTGTAAATTGATCACCAGTTATCAACCCACTACAATCACAGTCCTTACTTCCAATTAATTTTTTACAGTGCATGGCAAGACTAAAAAATAGGGATCTCCTGCAATTCAAATACACTCTCATCTTCCGGTGAAAGGTTTCAGTTAATTTTTGCAACAATAAACAAATCATTGTGTGTCCTCAGTGCTTTCTAATCAAAGAATGTCCTTCTCCACACTTTTGGTAGATAATTGTCAGTTGGAGTTGTAGCAGGGAGAGTCCCAGTATTAATAATAACCCTTTCTAACAGAACATTTTATCAACTTTTTAAATCTTTGCTTATCTGATAGTTAAAATACAACTTAAAAATTACAAGCCGTGCTATAGTTAAAATATTCTGAAGAGTAGCAGAATATGCCACCCTCAAGCACGCTTCACTCTGAGCCGGAGGCGACTGAGAAGATGCAGATGGCCTCTGAGCAGGGCAGGCGTGCAAGAGAGGGCTCTGGAGGGAGGGCCTCTGTGGCCGAAGCAGGCTGTGGCCAGCTGGAACCGGTTCAGTGGGCTGGAAGCAGAAGACCCAGGAGCGGGGAGTGAAGCTATAGGTGTCGGCAGCAAACAGGGCAGACTAGGCTGCCACGAGGAATTCTCAGGAGGAATGGGCCTCTGTTTTCTTTGAGATTCAGGGAGCGGTTTGGTTTCATTTTTAACTTCATAAAAGCCCCCCTTCCCGCAGTCAGGGACTGTGGGTTTTATCTAATGAGTTCCGTTCTGTCTCCCTACGGTGTGTGTTGTGTACCCTCGAACGATGGCACAACAGACAAAGGGTGGCTGCCCCTCAGAGAGACCATTCAGATGCCCGCCTGGCCGCACCCCTTGTGGGGACTTAGGCGCGACTTAGCTAAGGAGGGTGTGAGGCCTCCGTTACGCCGTATGTCGATCACCACGGAACTGCAGGTGAAAGCTCAACCAGCCACCGCGACCAGTGCTTCCCGGTCTCCGTGCAGTGACAGACAGCCCATGCTCACGCTGTCCGGTCCACCCACTCAGTCACTCAGCAGCACTCCGAGGTTAGACATCCCAGCCCCTCTTCCCTTGAGGGTGCCTTAATTTACAAGAGTGATTAAACTCTTCTTCTGCTTGAATTGAGCAGGACTTACAGACTGACTAACTGGGGTGCCTGGAATTAAGCAGGCAGGCAGACAGACAGACATCCTCCTCCCTTTGGGTTTGGTGTGAGCCGCTCAAGCAGAGAGCCAGGAATCCTCTTCCACACCTCTGAGGGGACTCAAGAAATCTCGAGGGCTTCCTGTTGGGGCCAGGAGAGGCCCTTACTCCATCCGTGAGGGCCTTGACTGGTGACCAAGGAGGCCAGCATGGTCAGTCTTGCCGGCCGACGCACCAGGTGCTACAGCAAACAAGAATACCGAAACGACACCCAGAATTTGGGGGCAGATTTATTTACAGCAATGGGGGCTGATAGGGATCATGCCCAGAATATCAGGCCCTGGTCTCTGGTGGTCTAGGGCTCCTATGGGACAAGCAAGCAGGAAGCACAGAGGCAGAATGGCTTGTCAATGGGGATCGGTTTACACAATGTGCATCACAGTCACCAGCTGTGCATCCCAGTGACCAGCCGTTCCTAAGAGACAGGAGCAACCGGAACTGGAACAGGAACTGTTACCTGGGCAACTAAGACACTGAAGCACACTGGCTGGTGTTGGGGTGGTGCATTTTCTGTTACAGCTTGAGTGTAAGGACATATAAAGTGCAGTAGGTAGGAAGATAGCCTTTACACACTAGAGATTGACTGGGATGCTTTCAGATCCTCTTATCACCGGATGTGGTCTGAGGAGGACCCCCAAAGAGGAGAGGGGGATAATTTACCCCACATGTGGAGCAGGTAACTTCTGTTACAGGGAAGTGATCCATCCGTGAGAGGGTTTGAAAGGCTCACTGGGCAGAATTAAAAAAGAGCACATTCAGGAGCAGAGTGCAGGCCCAGGAGACAGTACACCATGGTCTGGGGTTGGGGGTTTTACACACTTTTGGGGCTGTCTCGGTGATCTAGGATGTGTCTTCATACTGGCTGTCAGCAGGTTAGGTTAGAGTGCAAACATTTGCATGGGTCTGAAGTTTAGAGATTTGCTGCACACTTAATAATAGTGCTGCTTCCTTAAGGTTGGAAGTCTGTAGAGGAAAAACACAGACTCAATTTACAGGTTAAAATATGGGTCTAATTCACAAGATTATTGTGCCTTTCCTTGCCTTTCCTTTCCTTTCCTTCCTTTCCTTTCTTTCCTTCTCCTATTCTTTTTTCCTTCTCCTATTCTTTTTTTTTTTTTTGATACCAGGGATTAGACCCAAGGTCTTCACACTGAGCTACATCCCAAGTTCTTTTTTTGTAACTTTTTATTTTGTAATAGACTCTTGCAAGATTGCAAAATTTCCCAGGCTGCGTTTGAACTTGGGATACTCTGCCTCAGCCTCCTAGAATGCTGGGATTCCAAGCATATGCCACCATGCCTAGCATTGCCAAGTGTTTTGTTTTGTTCTGTTTTTATCTGAGCACAGAGATGCCATGTAATGCTATGGCAACTATCTTTTCTGAAGAAGAAAAAACAGTTGTTTTTGTTCATTGTTCATCCTTGGTGACGTGTATAAAAACTGACTCAGCTCTTTCACTTAATACCATTAGGTGGGGCTGATATTCAGGTCAGATGAGTTACAGATGCACTGGTGTTGTAGCAGATGTTCCCTCCTGGCTTGACATCTCTTTTGGTGTCCATACCATACCCGACGTTAAACACGTCTTTGATATCACCTGTTTAAGAAGAACAGACTGGACAGAACAACTGCCTTTCTGAAAATATTGAATCATTTCCTGTTTTCTTCTAAACTCTGAGACGAAATTCACATAACATAAAATAAACCATTTAAAATTATGCAGTAGTGTTTAGACATTTTCAGAGTTGTGCATTCATCATGTTTATCTAATTCCAAAACATTTTCATCACCCTGTGCTAAGAGGTCATTCATCTTTTTCCTCTTCTGTCCGGGTAACCAGTAGTATGATTTCTGTCTTTGTGGATTTCACTGTTCTAAATACTTCATTTAAATGGAATTATACAATATGGGACCTTTTCCTTAGCATAATGTTTTCAAGGTCAGTCTAAGTTGTAGCACCTATCCATTCTTTTTCCATTTTACAGCTCAATGATTTATCATATGAATATATTACATTTATTTATCTATTCTTTCTTTCAGTGACATTTGAGTGTTTTTCTCCTTTCGGCTATTGTAACAGTGTTGCCATGAACATTTGTGCACCGTAACTGTGAACATCTGTATCAATTTTTTGTTTACTTAGGAGTACAACTGCCAAGTCACACGGTAGTTCTATATTTAATTTATTGAACTGCCAGACTGATTTCCACAGTGGCTGGGTCATTTTACATTCCCACCAGCGACCTATGAGAGTTCTAATTTTTCTATGTCCTCGTGAACATTTTCCTCTTTTTAAAAAATGTAGTCTTACTGTGGGTGTCAAACGCTCTTCTTCATTGTGGCTTTACTTCGCATTTTTCTCACGATGAACGATGTAGGCCACTTTGCCCTGTACTTGTTAGCTCTTTGTATATCTCAGCAGTCCCCAGCTTTTCTGTCATCTGCAACTGCTTTAGTGGGAGACGGTTTTTCCACAGATGGAGGAGGGGTGGTTTAAGGATGATTCAAGCATATTGTATTTATTGTACACTTTATTTCTATCATTACAACATATAATGAAATAATTCTACAACCCACCTAACACACAATCAGTGGGAGCCCTGAACTTGTTTTCCTGCAGCTAGATGGTCCCGTCTGGCGCTGATGGGAGACAGTGGCACCCGAAATGTGTTCTTATGTCCAGTCTATGCCATACTCTTGTTTTGGTTGCTGTCACTGCAGAAAACCCTACTTCACAAAGACAGGATGTTAGAAATCGGGGTGGGCTTTCAATTGCTTTTGTGGTGATCATAGGATGTTCTGTCTTGACTTTAATGCAGAACATATGGAGGTTTGAAGTTGTCTCAAACATACTTTTTTTCCTCAGTTTTTTAATCAGTGTATGTTTTCAATACATAGCATATACATTCATGGTGGGGAAATTAGTATATACATGTATCACACCTTGACCCTGTGACTCCTCCTTTTTTCCCCCTTCTTCCCGTCTCAGTGCCCCCATCCCAGTTCTCCTCATTCTTTCAAAGAACCAATTCTTTAGATGGGCGTGGTGGTGCATATCTGTAATCCCAGCACTTGGGAGGCTGAGGCAGGAGGGTGGCTGTTTGAGGCCATCTTAGGCTACATAGTGAGTTTAAGGCTAGCCTGAATTTCATAGTGACACCCTGTCTCAAAACACACACACACGCACACACACATGAACTCTTTGATTCATTGATCCTCTGTATTTTTTTTGGTATCAATTTCATTAATTTTACCTCTGAACGTCATAATTTCTTTCCTTCTATTAATTTCAGATTTGGATTGTTTTTATCTTTCTAGGACCTTGGCATGCATCATTATTTATTTTGGGTTGTGCTATTCTTTTTATGTGCCCATTTCATTGCATCTCATAGGTTTAAATATGTTGTGCTTCCATGGTCATTTGAGTCTAGGATTTTTAAAATTTCTCCCTTGATTTCTTTTGTGACACACTAATTATCCAATAACGTATTATTTCATCTCCATGTGTTTGCATGATTTCTGTGCTTCTTTTGCTACTGATTTTTAGCTTCTTTCCACTATGATCCAATAGTATGCAGGGGATTATTTCAGTTCTTTTGTATTTACTTAAGCATGCTTTATGGCCTGAGATAGGGCATATTTTTGAAAAAGGTCCATGTGCTTTTGTTGGATGAAATGTTCTGTAGGCATCTGTTAAGTCCATTTGATCAGTGGTGTGGTTTACCTCTTGGTTGAATTTTTATCTGACCGACCTGTCTTAATTGTGAGAAGAAATGGAAGTCACCCATTATGATTGTATTGATGTCTACCTGTCCTTTTAAATCTAGTGGTGTTTGTTTCACGAAGTTGGGTGTGTTCCACATTGGGTAAGTGTTTACAATTGTTCTCTCTTCCTGTTGAAGGTGGTTCCTTCTACCACAATGTAGTGGCCATCTTTGTCTCTTCTGATCAGTTGGCTTGAAGTCTGCTGCGTCTGAAGATAAGATAGCTACTCCTGGTTGTTTCCAGGTTCTGGTTGAATGGAGGGGCATTTCCCTTTATTTTACTTTAAGTCCATATACTTGCTTTTAGATGCAGTGTGTGTCCTGCAGGTAATACATGGATGTGTTTTGTTTTTTGATACAATCTGCCAGTCTGTGACTTATAATTGGAGGGTTGAGACCACTGACATATACTGACATAAAATGACCCATTCAGGCCTGGTGTCCTGGTGCGCACCTGTAATCCCAGCACTCGGGACGCTGAAGCAGAAGGAGCACCATGAGTTCAAGGCAATCCTGGGCTACACAGTAAGTTCAAACCCAACTTAAACTACACAGCAAGACTCTGTCTTAAAAAAAGGCCAATTCAGTTTTCCTGATTTATGACCATTCAAAAACTCAAATAGTTCTGTAGCTGTGGTGTTGACTGGCAACAAAAGTTCATATAATATCTCACGCACATCTTTGTAAAAAAATATACTGCACAAAAACAGGTAGAAAGATGAGCTCTTCCCATCGTCTCTATCTCTGCAGTAAGATCACAAGCCTTTTTCTGTTTGTGCTGTGGGGCAGCAGCCCAGGGAGTTAAAATTCTTCTGAAATATGGGAGGCTGTGCCTCAGGTAAGGTGTCCTTGTAGGCAGTGTGATGTTTCAGGGTAGTGTGTTTGTGGATCTTGTTTTCCCCGAGGTTTGCTTGGCATTCTGCACTAGCTTCTAAGGTTTGTCTTTTTCTGTTGTCTGTTCCACTACTTTCAGGAGTAAAGCTACTTTTGGTCAAAAGCTGGCATACTGTGAATAACTCACCTGTGATGTGCAATACTGTTCTGAGAGTGGTTTTTCCAAATGTACAGTGCACAAAATATCAGTTAAGCCTGGGTCTTGTGCCCTGGGTTCTGTGGCAGCCGTAACATCCATCCATCTATGTGTTGGGAGACGAGTGTCGTCTCCTTCCGTGCAGGTATTCACAGAATACAAACCCGTGTGTGTCAGCTAACGAGAGGTGTCTTACATTAGCTGTGAGTTACAAAAAGGTCAGGAAGGCCAGTCAAGACCAGCCAGCCACTCAGATCTGGGACTTGGGCAAGACATGTTACACCCAACCCCTAGTCTGCATGTGGGCGAAGAGGATGCAGAACTGCACCTCCTACTGGTTTGCTTCCTTTTTCTCTGATGGGGAAATGGCCTTTCCAAGCAATACGTTCTTTTCTTTGCAGGTGTGTCCTGTTGACTCAGCTCTCAGAAGCGTCCTCTGACCATACTCCAATTAGATCTCTTTACAGAAAAGCAGGGAGTGCTCAGAGGTATCTTACCTGCAAGCTTTCTTTATGAGATCATCCTGACTTATGTTCCCACTGTAAGTTCCCAATGGCACTTGTGAAAAAAAAAGAAAAGACAAAAAAAGAAGCTGGGCATGGTGGTGCACACCTATAATCCCAGCACTCGGGAGGCTGAGGCAG